TCTAAATAATGGTCCAGTTATATAATTCCTCTCCCCCTCGCCCCCCTTCCCAAGCCTACCAACTGACCTCTGTCAGAATGTGTGTCCGGTGGCTAGGCCTCATGGCATCATGCATCTTTGTCTCCCAACATATGAGATTTCATCTGAGAAATGTGCAGGGCTGATTGGGATCAGTATACTGACCAAGCAAATATCACCTGCATGTGTTAGTATACATCCCAACCAATCACCGAATTGGTGGGTGGACGTCACAGATACTTGTAAGGGAGTCTCCTTTGCCTCAGCTCCTCCATCAAAGATTCTTGTAACAGACGGTTCTGCGCTCGACTGGGGAGCCCACATTGGCAGATAAACAGTTGAGTGAGTTTGGTCCGCTTGGGATGAGTCCCTCCACATAAACATACAGGAGTTAATGGCCATCTACAAACCTCTGAGGTTTTTCTTCACAAAATAAAAGGCCTTACTATTCAAGTAACGATGGACAACACAACCACTGTGTTTTATAAATATAAACAAGGAGCAAGATCCTTCCTCCTTATGCAGAGAGCTGGTAAGATAGTAGAATTTCTCTATCCTCCATGACATTACCTTGACCTCTATGCACTTCCCTGGGATCCACAGTGTGCTAGCAGACACTGTAAGCAGATGATTTGTAAATGGTCACAAGAGTTCCATAAAACATGAAGACATTCACACTATCCCCTCAGAAGGGGTTTCACTTGCATGGTCCTGTTCACAACAAAAGACAACAGAGTATCATTAGTTCTGTTCAATGGAAGGATAAAAAGCCCAGGAGCCAAATAAGATGCATTTCTAGTCCCGAATCTTAGGCCTATTCTACGCATACCCCTGCTTCCTCTCCTGCCAAGGATAATAAAGCAGATCAAGCAAGAATCAGCCAGATTATTTCTGATAATCCCAGCGCACCCGAGGCAGACCTTCAGAGCCTCTTGATGTGACCACCCATAACCTTGCCTCTAATTTTGGATCTGATCTCTCAGAATCTTGCGAGGCTTCATCTGGCGGCATGTATGCTGAATGGTTAACTTCCTCAGGGGGCGGGGGAGGTGTTACTCTGACATGCAGAACTAATACACAGTAGAAAGTATTCTACCAGGTCTACATACCCAGTAAAATCGAAGAGATTTTTCAAATCGGCGCTACAACATCTGTCACCATCAAAATCTCAGATTCTTACTATTCATGACTACTTACCACACCGTAACAAATTAGGGCTTTGATTAAGCTCTCTGCAAATACCCTTAGCAGCCATCTCATCCCCCTGTACTTGGATCCTCAGTGTTCTTTCACCCAGTGGTGAAGAGATTTATGAAAGGTTTAACAAAGTTTTTCCTCCAGTAAAAGACCCTGTTACAGTTTGGGATTTAAATTTAGTTCTGTTAGGGCTTGTGTGCTAACGCGTCAAACCCTGGGTCACACACTCTTTTCCAGCGCAGACTTCCGGGCTCAGGCTGCAGCCCAAACTGTAGGACCTGCGAGGTGGAATGGTTCCAGAGCTTGGGCTGCAGCCTGAGCCTGGAAGTCTGCACTGTAATGAAACAGCACTGGCAGCCCAAGTCAGCTGGCACAGGCCAGCCGTGGGTTTTTCTTCACAGTGTAGACATATCTTAGTGACTACCTGTGAAAAATGTGGTTTATGTGACTTGTCTAGCATCACACAGGAACTTCATGACAGAGGCAGGGATAGAATCCAGGTCAACATTCAGCTGCCTTAGCCATAAGACTGTTCTTTCTCTTACTGCAGTCCCCTGCCTCAGCTTCCCTCTTCCTCTACAAGTGAGGCAGGGGATCCTATCAATAGTCTCCTTCACTATATAACCCTGAGTCATTCCCAGAACATGTCCATCCTGTGCAATGAACAAGGCAGGGGCCTGTGGAAAAAACAGTATGTGATCCTGTAATTAAAGACTATATCATACTGCATAAGTAAAAGGGGGCTGAATCTTAATTCTGGCATATCTTAACTTTTGACTGTTTGACTTTTCAGCTTTAATGCTCTGTTAATGTAATTTTTGCATGTAATTTCCTCTGTGTTTAAAAAAGCAAACCAGAAAAAATCAAATGCCATCATGTGGCTTATATTGATGTCCATGTGGGTCGTCAGAGTTGGAACTTCTAGATCCATCACGCAGAACTCTGCCATTTGAGCTTCTGGAATAACTAAGAGCAGTAGTAGGTTGTTATCCTCTATGTGGACACACTGGAGAGGGATGAGAGACACTTTGCCAGGGGGTTTCCCAGACATTGCTGACAGCAGAGAAATAGTGAAACTCAGGAATCTTGGGTTCTGTTCCAGGCTTTGGAAGGAGTATTTTCTTGTGGGCACAGACACCCCTCTCTCTCACCTCACCCCTCCTCATCTCACCCCAAACTTGATGCCTTCTATCCCAGTCCTGTCTCTTTCCTGCCTGGGGCTCCTTGCCCTACACCTTGCTGTCCCAGTCTGTCTCCACTCCTAACGGTTTTCATCCCATTCTCAATCTCAATCTCCCTGCCCAGCCAGTCCCAATTCTCCTGTGCAGCCTAGCTCGTTGGCTGATCTCAGTGTCCTCTCCATCCCTGGAAAAGTGGTTCCCAACCCCTCATCCTCATTTCCCCCATTGGCTCCCAGACTCCTTCCTCCCACCAAATCCCAGTGACAGTTTCTATTCCTCTCACTTCCTCCCTTTCTCCTCCATTCCAAATTGATCCTTTGCATTTCTTCCTCTCCCCCACCTCCAGTCTGGCTCTTGTCCCCTGTGCTTTCAAGTCAGGTGGCTTCCTCCTCCATGCTGCGTGGGTACCAGACAAGGGGCATTATTGAGAGTATAGAAGAGAGAAGCCCCCCGTTGTCATTTTTGCTGCCCAGCCCCACTCCAGCCAAGAATAGCAGCAGTTGCAAGGAAGGTTCAGCTCTGCCCCTGTAATTCTGGTGGAGTATGCTCCGTGCAGATGTATGCGCAGTCTGGTCAGTACTAAGAACTGAGAGGCTCGAGCATGCTTGGTGAATATTTAGGGAGTTTAGTTACTAAAATCTAAATCTCTAGAATTTGTGCAGTTTATTTTCATAGACTTATAACTTGGCCAAATTTGGATCGATTTTCTCCAGGATGGCAAAAGCATCTCTCTCACACAAAGGCCAATCCCTGCCAAATTTCAGGCACCCACTCCAAAGCCTGGCACTAACACTTTTCATAGACAGAGTTGCCAGAATCTTTTAACATGGGCAAAATAATATTTTTCCCTTGCCTAGTTCTCAAAAATGACTAAACTGTTCTGACTAAAACACCAACAAATTCAGCATGAGGTAGATATCTAGTATGGAAAACTTCAGCACAAATGGTAAAAGTTTGGCAAAGTTTTTTACAAATAACTGAAAACAAGGTCTTATAATGGGAGGTGTTGGCCAACCTTCAAAAAGGCAGCGCCACCAGTTCCACCTGTAATATTTGTATGAATTAATTGGTATTTCTGTTTGTGCTTGCGTTGTCTTTTGGCAGTCACATATTGAGGGATAGCATATTGGGGTTGGGATTGAGGGAGTTGAACTGCTTCTTCTCATACAAAATTTTGCAATATGTATGCAAATACTTTTATCGGGGGGAGGAGAACGGGACCAAACCTATTTTTATCTTTAATTTGACTGCAAATGGGTTTTAAAAGAATTCCTTTACACCAGAAAAAGTGAACCATTAAATTGATTCACTTTTCACAAGCGTATAGACTGGCATTTTAATGTGTAGACTGGGCACGTATCAATGTAACTAATAGTTTTCTGTTTGCTCATTTTTCTTAACCACCTAAATTCAGTTCTAAACATATGAAAGCAGGGGACCAATAGTCCAATCTGAGCCAAGGATGACATTGGCAATGCTGTGCAATCTTTCCCACACTTCTGTTAATGTAGTTCAGCCAGCATTTGCACTCCTGCTTTTCTAGTAGTGGACATCTAGAGCCGGGGGGTAGCTCAGTGGTTTGAGCATTGGCCTGCTAAACCCAGGGTTGTGAGTTCAATCCTTGAGGGGGGCCACTTAGGGATCTGGGGCAAAATCAGTACTTGGTCCTGCTAGTGAAGGCAGGGGGCTGGACTCAATGACCTTTCAGGGTCCCTTCCTGTTCTAGGAGATAGGATATCTCCATATATTATATTAATTATATTATATTATATTAATTATATTATATTATATTATTATTAAGAATGTGTTTTGCTGAATTTTGTTGGCAAATTAAGATTATTTATTTTTAGATCAGTTTTGTAGCAGAATAAATTTGAAACCTGAGGTCTCATTAGGGAGTCTTTAAATCCATTTAATCTTCCAACTGCACTAATTCCTTACAGGTAACCTGTTTCATAGTCAGAACGTGAATGCCAAAGCACACTTGATTTTTTTAAGCAATTACTTTTTTAGTTGAGTTTAATTACTTAATAACATAGGATCTTCCAAACTGGATCGAACAGTGGCCCATTGAGTCCTATATGTTATCTCTGACAGTGACTAATATTGGCTGCTTCAGAGAGAGAGAATCTGCAGTAAGCAGTTATGGGATAACTAGTCCCCAGGGGAGTATACTTCTAGCTCCCAAAAATTAAAGGTTGGTTTATGCCCTGAAGTTTGAGAGTTTATACACCTTTCAAAATTCTTGGAATCATAGAATATCAGGGTTAGAAAGGACCTTAGGAGGTCATCTAGTCCCAACCCCCTGCTCAAAGCAGGACCAATCCCCAGACAGATTTTTGCTGCAGATCCCTAAATGGCCCCCTCAAGGATTGAGTTCACAACCCTGGGTTTAGCAGGCCAATGCTCAAACCACTGAGCTATCCCTCTTGTTTAGTTTACTTTTATAACTCAGGATATTCTTGTTATTCATATACATATCTAATCTTGATAAGAGTAAAATCCTGATAAGCTCTTGACCTCAACAATACCTTGAATTGGAATTCTTATGATGAATGTTGTTCTATACATAGTAACTGATGTGTTTTTGATGTCCTTTCTTAGAAGCAAGATCAGCTGCAAGATGAAGAGGAAAGAAAGAGCTCCTGGGTTAGTCAGGAGCGACAGAAAACACTGGACAGACTTCGCACGTTTAAACAGGTAACAGAAGAAATGACCACTTTTCACCATCGTGTAGCATTTATTTTTAAAAATACGCTTCAGTTATATTCCGGTAATATCCTGAGAGAGATCTGTTCTTCTTTAAATACTTAAAGCATTCATTTTGGGAATAGATGTTAAAATTCCCATAGCCTAAGACTTAAGAGGAAATAAAGTACAGCATTAGATAAAGTTCTTTGGATGTATTGCAGCATAGTTCTGTGCTTAAACTCCATCTTTCTCAGTTTCTCTTCTTAGTTACTTAATATTTACAGGAAAATAATCAGGAGCTGAAGCAGAGTCTTTCCTTTCCTTATAGATATAATCCAGGTGCTGTTTTATACATGTATTGGATCATGTGACCTGTTGTTATTTGCATTACCATAGTTCCTAAAAGTCCCTGTCTCAAAGAGCTTACAGCCTAATACCAGACAAGAGACAACAGATGGATCCAGACGAGAGGACAAGGAAATGACACAATGTTAACTCCTTTTAATGGTTCCTGGCCTATGCATCTAAGACTGAACAAGTAATAAAATTGGAGAATTTCTGTTATTAGCAAGAAATCTTGTTTAGTAGTGATATAAAAATGAGTCTTTCCACCCGAATTGCTTGCAAGGCTGCTGGAAACTTACAGCTTCTATATACTAGTAAATTCACACGTTGAAGCAATGGGATATTAATCAAGTCATTAACGGCTACATTATGTATAGTATAGCCATATGGATAGGATCTGTGTAGCTTTGTAAAAATGTTATGTTTTAAGTCATTTGTGGTAATTTAAAAAAAAACACAACACATTGGGCCCAGTTTTCAAAAGCAGCCTTTAATTTCACCTTCAACAGTTTGTATGAACAGTTGCAATTTGCAAGGACACAAACTGGGGGGGCAAATGTAGAAGCCAGATTAAGACCACTTTGAAAGCTCATCTTTGACAAAAAATTCTAGTATTTGGAGTGCCAGTAGAAGAGAACTACTGAAAAGTGTTGAAGGTTTTCTTGTTGTCTGAGTAAGTAGTACAATGCTGCATTTGAGACCAGCTCATCGGACCTGATGGCCTGAACATGCTCCAGTGCAACTCACTGGCCTGTTTTATGGGGGGAGAAGGAAGATTGTATTTTTTTATGTTCCAGGAACCATTAATTTAGATGAAGAGTCTGGTTCTTGGAGAAATATGATGTCTGTCCATTTGCATCCCTGAGTTGACTTAAGCACAAAGATTGAGTTGACCAAGACCGCACAGTGAGACAGTGGATCACCCTTGATTAGAACGTAGGATCTTTCTGCCATTCTGGTCTTTGCTGTAACCAGTAGTTACATAAAGAGGAGAGAAGATGACTGGGATAATCCCAGTGGTGCAGCATTTATAACCTTTTGAGGAATGTGCATGTCTATCACCACCTGGTATGAATTAGGGGAGGAGAAGGTGAAGGCTTGCAATATGTGGAAGTCATAATCTGGGAATGATGGATTTACATGTTTGCAAAACGTTGAACTATGACATTTCTTATATATCTATATCTATATATATCATGGTACACCACTGTGCTGCCATATGCTGGCACATTTTATTGGAATGTGTTTTTGAAAATGTACTGCAGTGCAAGAGACCTCCTATGTAATTCCAGTGCAATATAAAAGCAAAGTAAAGAACAAAAATATTAAAGTGAGTTTCCTTGTCACAAAGGCAAAATCACCTGATCACAGTTCTTTAGTTTCTAGTATAGTATATTGCATACACGTATCTAATTTTAAATAACTGTTTCCTTTTAGCGGTACCCTGGGCAAGTAATACTTAAATCAACCAGACTGCGACTGGCTCATGCAAGAAGTAGTAGTACACCCAGCTCAGTGCCCTGTGTAGATCAACCTCAATCTCTACCAGTAACCACACAGATCCAAAAGAAAACTGAGGAGGTGGAATCAGGAAAAGTAATCCAGCCTTTCCAAACCCAGGAGCCCAGAAGCTTAGAACAACTTGAAGATAGTTTGTTACCTCCCAATGGCATTACCTCTGAACTGTCTCATCATGCTACTCCTCCACTTCTTGCCAGTAATGAGCTTCAACCAGATACTGTTACTGTAGTTCCACTTCTGCCTCCTTTGCCACCACCACCGCCGCCACCACCGCCACCTCTGCCTATCAAGGAAGATTCTACTGAATCCTTAGAGAAAAGTGACAGCCCTGTTAAACAGGAGAGTGAGGATACAGGAGTCCCACAGTCCACCACTGTCCCATCAGCACATCTTTTTGATAGCAGTCAGTTAGTCAGTGCCAAGAAGAAACTTAAGAAGACAGATCTAGAGGGTTTACAAAGGAGGAGAGGTAATATTTTTGTTTATATTTATTTAAACATAATTAACTGCTAAGGAATGTACTTGTCATTTTGTTTCCCCCTTTTTTGATTGCTGTGTAGAAAAGGGTATGTTGGATTTTATGTATAATTAGTAATGCAACACTTGTTCTAATGCCCTCGACTGAAAAGTTTGGTGAACTCATGTGGTGGGAATTTGTACTGTAGTGTATGCTGTTGATTCAGTTATATATAGCTCCACATAAACTGCAAATTGCACTTGAGGATGCAGTCAGTTTTTCAGTTGACAGACATTACATAACAGACGTCTTTAGATAAGATATGGGTGCAAAAACTTCAGTTGCAGTACTTACCTTATCTGTCTCACCCTGCCACCTTTGTGTATCCTTTCTCTTTCCACCAACCCAGTTGGTGTTGGCAGCTTTGAATAACCACCACAGATTGCTAGTTAGAAATTTAAATAAACATTGAAACATAGGTGATGAATTTTAAAATTTTAGTACTTAATTTTCATTGTTTCCTCTGGGAAGCATGGGAAAATAGTCTTTCCATACCAACTTGGGATGGAATCCTTGCTCCAAGAAGTCAATAGGAGTCTTCTCATTGACTTAAATAGAGCCAGGATTTCACACTTTGTACTTTTCATTTAGCAAAGTTTGTTTTCTAAAATACCTACCCTTTTGGCTCTGTGCCAATACTGTGATTTAATTAACCTTAACTAAAAGTGTGCTGAGAAATAGTCACATGTAAGTGAAGCTCCTTTTGTGCCTCATGCACAGAGCTATAGTAGTGACTCCATGGAGCCTTTATTTGCAACCCTTATTATTATCACCTAACTTCTTCAAAAAAAAAAAAAATCTTCTTTTGAAATTTCTTGTGGTGAATGAGACCACAGGCTATTTTGAGTCTGAAGTAGATTCAACAGTCCATTTTTTTGACTCGCATGACAGACATTTTTGTTTTCAAAAAGTGTTCTCCAGATTTGTCCATGACCCAGATCTGTAAAGTTCAAACAGATGGTAAGTTAAGTCTGAATGAAACTTATGCATTTGACCAACTTATACATTTTGGGTACAAATCTTTAATTATCTTCATTGTCAAAATTCCGTAGAGTTGCAAGAACTTCTAAATCTCCCTAGACACAAAGGTGTTGTCAGGTGTCTGACATCATGGGCATGTCAGCACAAACTCTTCTTGAGGTTGATCGGTGTGTGGCAAAGGTGAATATTACTGTTATATTGATGCTTGTAACTTCTTCTACCATCCACAAAAAAATTCTCTACTATTGTAAGCACACAAAGGCTCTGATCCTGCAAGGATGTCTGTGTGTGGAGACCCATGCATCTGGACAGCTTTCTATTGAAGTCAGCTGTACCCCAGAGCTCTGCCTACATGAAACTCCATGCATGATTGGGGTCTAATATACCCATGTGTTTCTAGGTGGGATGATCCTTACTCTCTAGAATTCTGTTTTACATTGATTTTAGGGATTGCAAAATCTGTGTGAAATGAAGAGTATAATTACGTTTGTTTAGTATTAATATGGAATTACACTAATGCCTCGGCAGTTAATTCTGTGAGTTTCTGTAACTTTGTCTGTTTTTAACTCCCTTTTTGGATTTTTCCAAAAACGTCTTTTGGCCTGAAATTCCTAGTGGTCGGTCTGAAACTAGAAAGGAAACTTTTGGGACAATTGAAGTATATTAGTCCAGCTTAAAGCAGTTTTTTCAATGTTTGGAAAATGTCCTCAACATTTTGATGCATTCAAACTGCTTGGCACACAAAGGTACAACAAATGTGTATATATAGGATCAGTTCTCTTAAGTTAGGTTTAAACATATTTCAGCTACTTTTGGTCAAACTCCGGGAGCATTATTGGGTCTCGTAAGACACTCACAGCCAGATTTAGGGGCAAGTGATCGCCTGGGGTACCAGGCTCAGGGTGCTGTTTTTGTTGTTAGTGACAAAAGGAAAAATAGAATGATTGAAGTAAAATGTTTCAGGTATTCTGTATGTGGATTTGTTTTTCACTAACCTCCTAGAATGTTCTGGACCTTTCTAGAATCTTGTGGAACCTTGCAGACTTCCTGAAAACTACCTAGAATGTTGTCAGCCGTGCCCTTGTGGGTTTACAAGTGGAGGGGAGGATGCCGAAGATATTCCTCACCTGGGGTGCCATTTGGTCTAGGTCGGCCCTGAAGACACTTACAGGTGTCACCCGGTGAAAAATATGAGAGTTGATAGAGCTTGTAACCGCTGTCAGTTATTCACTAAGAGAAGTGCAGCAGTTACAATATATGCACCATAGGACTTTATTAGTTATAAATTTTGCTTCTAGCCCTCTCTTGGTGAACTCAGTTGCTGAGTACTGTGCACAAGTGTGGACAAGAAGCTGCCATACTCAATTTGTGGATAGTCAGCTGAATCAGACCATGCAAATCATCATGGGAACTTTAAAATCAGCACCTCTGCTGTAGCTTTCAGTATTTGCAAACATCACACCTTCAGCCACTAAGATAGAGCTACAGCACAAGAACTTAATTGTGCCAAAGGCTACCCAGAACTTCCCATCCAGCCAGGTTATGGATAACGTACCCCAACAACACCTGAAATCGCAAAAACCACTGTGGATCACATCTGACCATCTCATGTCTCTGGATCCGGCCAGGGAATGGCAAAGTGACTGGACCGCATTTACCATTCCAAACAAGCACAGTATTACTGACTCAACAAGCCGCCCTCCCATTTCAACCCTCCACACAGACTTTAGATCACACTGAACCGCACCTGAACAATCATTAAAGGTGCAGCTATCCTTAATGCACAAGTGGAAAACCAAAGACTCACCTTTTTGTGACTGCAGAGAGACCATCCAAACCATTCAACACATCATAAGCAGATCAGACGACAAGCTTAGAATGTACCCTTATGTGTTTATCTTTACAAAAATCTGAGCTAGCTTGACCAAATTTGGGCGGATTTTCACAGTGGAGGAGGGACTTCAAAAGGCATATCTCTGACACAAAGCCCAAGTCCCTGCTCCAAAGCATAGCGATGCTAGACTTTTCTTACGAAAAGCTCACTAGGTTTTGTTTTTTGCCTCAGTCTTGTTCTCAGAAGCAGCTAAACCATTTTGGGTGAAATTTTCCAAAGAAATTGAGCTTGCGGCAGATACCCGATATGGAAATTATCAACCCAAATGCTTGGTTTAGTAAAGTTTATAAGCAACTGAAAACAGAACCTAATAATGGAAAACATCAGGCAACCTTAATAATATGGGGCTACCAGTCCCATCTCTAATTGCATGTGTAATTTGATATCCAGTTATATATAAATTAGGGCTGTCAGTCACAATTAACTCAAAACATATTAACTCTCTTAAAAAATCAATCATGATTAATCACTGTTTTAATCACACTGTTAAACAATAATAGAATATCAATTTAAATGTATTATAAATATTTTGGATGTTTTTCTGTATTTTCAAATATATTGATTTCAGTTACAACACAGAATAAAAAGTGTACAGTGCTCACTTTATATTATTATTTTTTATTACAAATATTTGCCGTATAAAAAGATAAACCAAAGAAATAGTATTTTTCAGTTCACCTCATACAACTATTGTATTTATCAGGAAAATGCAACTTGGATTTTTTTTTTTAACATAACCGCACTAAAAAACAAACCTATGTAAAACTTTAGAGCCTACAAGTCCACTCAGTCCTACTTCTTGCTCAGCCAGTCTCTAAGACAAATGAGTTTTACATTTATGGAAGATAATGCTGCTGTAGCCGCCATTGCCAAGGTATTTACGTGTCAGATATACTAAATATTCATATGTCCCTTCGTGCTTCAGCTACCATTTCAGAGGACATGCTTCCATGCTGATGACACTTGTTTAAAAAAAAAAAATGCATTAATTCAATTTGTGACTGAATTCCTTGGGGGAGAATTGTATGTCTCCTGCTCCATGGTTTTACCTGCATTCTGCTATATATTTCGTGCTATGGTAGTCTCGGAAGATGATCCAGCATATGTTGTTTGAGTTAAGAACATTTTCATTGTAGATTTGACAAAACGCAAAGAAGGTACCAATATGAGATTTCTAAAGATAGCTATAGCACTGGACCCAAGGTTTAAGAATCTGAAGTGTCTTCCAAAATCTGAGCAGGTTGAGGCGTGGAACATGCTATCGGAAGTCTTAAAAGAGCAACACTCCGATTCAGAAACTACAGAACCCAAACCACCAAAAAAAGAAAATGTTCTGTTGGTGGCATCTGACTCAGATGATGAAAATGAACGTGCATTGGTCCACACTGCTTTGGATCGTTATTGAGCAGAACCTGTCATCAGCATGGAAGCATGTCCTCTGGAATAGTGGTTGAAGCGTGAAGGGGCATACAAATGTTTAGCCTACCTGGCACGTAAATACCTTGCACTGCTGGCTACAACAGTGCCATGGGAATGTCTGTTCTCACTTTCAGGTAACATTGTAAATAACAAGCTGGTAGCATTATCTCCCAAAAATGTAAACAAACTCGTTTGTCTTAGCGATTGGCTGAACAAGGAGGACTGAGTGGACTTGTAGGCTCTAAAGTTTTACATTGTTTTATTTTTGAGTTAAATTATGTAAGTTGCACTTTCACAATGAGATTGCACTACAGTAGTTGTATGAGGTGAATTGAAAACTATTTCTTTGATTTACCTCTTTTACAATGCAATATTTGTAATAAAAAATAATATAAAGTGAGCACTGAACACTTTGTATTGTGTTGTAATTTAAATCAATATATTTGAAAATGTAGAAAACATCCAAAAATATTTAAATACATGGTATGCTATTGTTTAATAGTGTGATTAAAACTGCGATTAATTGCGATTATTTTTTAATCTCTTGATAAATCAGAATTTTTCAATTGTTTTCCAGCCCTAATATCAATAAAAACATAAAAACAAATTGCACACGTTACATTGTGTAATATAATATAAAAACTATAAATCTACCTTCTCCTCTCCAAGACTGTCTTTGACTTCTGCATATGCACTCTCCCCACTAATCCATCTCCCATTGGATTTATTTAACATTCCAAACTTCTAAGTAGATTCTGAGAGCTGAGTCTTTATAATGTTGATTTGCCAGAGAAGCTTCACCTCTCACTTCCAAATGTGGGGCCCCATTACAGCAAATATATCAATAAATAAAAATACTTGTCCAAACTCAGGATTGCTGAAATCCACAAATGGATAACAAAGGATGTCATAAAAGTGTATTCCACAATACACTTAGGAGAATTGGAGAGAGTTTTTCAGCTATGGATAAATGTTTCACTTTGGATATGGTATGCTGGTACATAGCTAGTTCCCATTGTTGTATTGAAGATACTATGCTGGTTTTTTGTTTGTTTGTTTGTTTGTTTGTTTTTTTGACACATATTAATCCTGGCCTCCACCTAATCTGTAAATCTGCAAAGCCAGAATCCAGTTGAAATACCATGTTCGTTTCACAGGGGAGTAAAGCTGCAGGTTGACTGTAAAGGCACTCTGTGCCTTAACATAGCTAAATTGCTGCTCTGCTTACTTTAGTTACAGGGGAGGGGGGCGTTTGAGAAGGCTGGGATTAGTACTGTGCAAATCCACTGGCCAAAACCTCCGCATTTCAGATTGGAGGAGAGGGAAATATATGCTGCTGCAGCTGACCACATCTGCTACTCCTCAATGGCTTGTAGTAGAAGTCATGCAGTGGATACAAACTAGCTACCTCAGGCATGTCCTGAGAATTCAGTTTCTCCTCTGGTGCTTGCATTACACAGAGTATGCAGTCCAGTCAGTTAAGTTATGTGCTCCCTATCAGACTTTCAGCCACAGGAAATAGACATCATAATGTATTTTGATTTTGTAACTGATTGTTGTCTTGCAGGCAAGAAAACTTACCTGCCAAAGTAGCCATACTGTATACCATATGCTGATGTTGTTTGGTTTTCAGAAGTCATATTATAGTTTTCACAGTACAAATATAATTTCTTCTTGCCAGTAAGGAAAAATAAAAAGATAAAAACACCATTAGAAAGTTAGCACTTACCAACAGTTACATGGTGGTATCTAAAATACCACTGTTTTCCCTCTATTTAGGATGCAAAATTGCTGTGGTAACTACCCTTTGTCATATAGGAAATAAAAATGAAGATGCTGAAATGTGTAAATATATTAAACTTAATACTAACTCGGTCTTTTGATTTGCTGCAGTGAGTTCCCCAATGGATGAGGTGCTGGCTTCCTTGAAGCGTGGTAGTTTTCACCTAAGAAAGGTTGAGCAGAGAAATCTCCCTCCTTTCCCTGATGAAGATGACAGCAATAACATCTTGGCACAGATAAGGAAAGGGGTGAAACTGAAGAAGGTGCAGAAAGATGTTCTGAGAGAGTCTTTTACAATTCTGCCTGACACTGACCCTTTAACACGTAGCATTCATGAAGCACTGCGAAGAATTAAGGAGGCATCACCTGAATCAGAAGATGAAGAGGAGAGTTTGACTTGCACAGACTGGGAAAATTAACCTGTAAATTTCCTATATTTTTAAAAATTAAATTTTATTTTGTTGGTGCTTTTTTAGGAATACTTGCTAAGCTTGGGCTAGAAAGTCTAGGAGATTTAGGAGTGTGCCTAAATCATGCAGTATACATAAACTGGTAAAAATGTGCATATCTAATCTGAACCACTGGCATTTCAAAGGGAGTTATACTTATAATAAGGGAAACATATTTCTGGACTGTTGCCAGAAATTTTTTTTGTAAACATTTTTTGCTAAATCAGTGACAGAAATTGTCCTCACAAAAAACCTAAACCTCAGTATATTGACCAGACTGTACCTTATAAGATTGAAAAGGACTTTCAGAAATAATAATGCAACAAAATCACTCTTGAATATACCCCTACATTTACAAATATCAAATGTTTTCTAATTGCTTCTGATGTGTAAAAATCCAGTGTATTTCCCACTTAAAGCTAAATAATTACAAGTCAAAGAAGATTAGATCTGACTACTAAGCATATTGAAATCTTGTTGGCTACCCTGTCTGTCTGGCTTCTTGGTGGCTGGCTTTTTGATAGCTTTCTTTCAGATCTGTGACCAGTCTGATTAGATTTCTAAATCATAAACAGTAAATATGCCAGTATAATTTACACCTCTGCTATTCATAAAATACCCCACAAATTTCCAGGCATTGTAGTTAGATGTGATACAAGAACAGAACTTAGACTTAAGATAGCTAGTTTTAGTGAGTTCAGAACAATGCAGAAATAGCCAAGGAATTTTAATTTTCAAGATTGTGGTGGTAGTCAAAAGACACAGATTCTTCTGTGCTACTCCTGTAAACTGGACTGACAGAGTGCTGTATTTCTGTAGCAAGTCTGCTGATAGAACATGGCCATATTTAAATAAAAAATAAAAGATTCAAATAAATATATTTGTAAGTAAATAAAAATGTAAATCTAGATCAAGGAGAAAGCCACAAGGATCTCTAAAGAACTTATTTCAAAAACTTTCTTAGAAATGGACTCTCCCAAGGTGTATAGTGAGTTAAAGGGAATAAATAATACGTATTGCATTCAAACCACATATAGTGGTAGTAAGACACCCCATTTGTATGTTAATAATTAAGCAGTAATGCACTCCAGAGATTGAGAGCTTTTGGGACACTGCCACAGCTGGGAAATGAAATTTAGTGCAAGTACCACAGGTATTAAAAAGGGATGATAGCCCAGCAAAACAACCTGTAGTATTTTACTGTGATTACAAATCTTTACTAAATTAAAGCTATTAAATAAATTGTTATGCCAATTTAATATCCTATTCTAAATTTAAAAAAAGGAAAATAAACAGTTACCTCACTGGTAGATTAGCCACTAGAGAGCCATATCAGTTGATCTATTTGATTTAGTTTTACTGTATTTCTCCTGATCCAGCTTTATTGCTAGGAAGTGTGAAACTGTCTTAAATCCAAAGGTGCAGATATGCTTGCATGCTGATGGAATGCACAGTCAAAAGCTGGTATGATCTGCAGGGCTGTCTGGCTCTCACTACAGTTGTTGATCACTCAGGATCTGACACCTGCCTCAAAACTATTATTAACTTCACAATGATTGCAGGTTTGGGTCCCTCATGATTTCCTATGGCCATTGTTATAATCAAAGAAGATGATGTGGGCTGAATTACTTTTTTAGCGTGTTCATTCTTCTGTCACTCTTCCTAGACATTTTACCAAACCTATTTCAGTGATTTGGTTTTATGTAATAGATTTGTAAACCTAATTGCGTCTTTTTGAATCTTGTTTTCCTCTTGGGAAGAATACTCTTTAATACCTCAGGATATTGTAAACTGCTTTCCTCAAAATCCTTCCCTTTTTTTTAATCTGAGGTATTGATAGGGCACCAGTTGCCATCTTCTTTTGTAAGCTAAACGTTACCTGAACCTTAAATACTCTCACTGTAAGTAAGTTGAAGGTGCTTAGAATCTTATGGAATTTGGACTCTTAAGTTCCGCAGAGACTTATACACACATTTGGCATTTGCATTCTACCCCCTCCACACTCTGTTACCATGAAAATACTTCAGTGGGATGTAATTATAACTGACAGATTTTTGATAGATTTGTAATGGTTTGTGTTTAAAAACAAACAAACCTTACAAAAACTAGGCTATGCTGAGGAATTGTATGAAATAATCTGATTTTAGGAGCAATAGACTGAAACATATGTACCACTATTCTGCTGAATTACTATTATTTTCACAGACATGACCCTACTTGATTGAATGTATAAATTGATTTAACAGAATTAATTACCTAGTACTTTAAATAATGGTCTACTGCAGAAATTTCAGAGCATGTTTTCTAGTACAAGGAAATCAGTTTAATGCCAGGACCTGTTAAAAGGATGACATTGTTGATTAAAATTACATCTCTGGGGCAAAATACATTACAAGAAGGTATTTTATACTGTAAATGGGCATACATTGTATACTGGCAGATATTATGAAACAATCATCTTCACTTAAATCTGTATAAGCTAAATTTTATACTGTAATTAATATTTCAAAAGCCTTAAGACTAAATCTGATAGTTTATATGTTTGAAATAGAGAAAGTATCTTTAAATTAATACAATACATGGTAAAGAAAAGAATTAACTAAAAGGGAAAATAAGCAATGAATGAATGAGTAACAGTTTAAGGGATTTCCCTTTATAACTGCAGTCTGAGGATAAAACAATTTTAAAAGAATCGCCCTCACTAAGAAAAATTCAGTCCATGATAAATTAGAATAAAATCTGAGCTGATTTGGTAGAAAGGTGTCCCTTTGGTTGATCTTGGATACGTCTCTTCCTTATAAGGAAGATGGTAAAATGGTTTGTAAATGCTTTCTTTCCTCGAATACGGATAACTTAGTTATAACTCCAAATAGCAGTAAAGGTTTGGGGGGGAAAAAGTATAGTGGATGTGTAACAATTAGGGCTATCGATTAATCACAGTTAACTCGCGCAATTAACTCAAAATTAATCACGATTAATCACACTGTTAAACAATAGAATACCAATTGAAATTTATTAAATATTTTTGGATGTTTTCTACATTTTCCAATATATTGATTTCAGTTACAGAATACAAAGTGTACAGTGACCACTTTATATTATTTTTGATTATAAATATTTGCATTGTAAAAATGAAACAAAAGAAATAGTATTTTTCAGTTCACCTCATAGTACTGTAGTGCAATCTCTTTATCATGAAAGAGCAACTTACAAATGTAGGGGTTTTTTGTTACATAACTGCACCCAAAAACAAAACAATGTAAAACTTTAGAGCCTACAAGTCCACCTAGTCCCACTTCTTGTTCAGCCAATTGCTAAGAGAAACAAGTTTGTGTACATTTATGGGAGATAATGCTGCCCACTTCTTAATTACAATTTCACCTGAAAGTGAGAACAGGCATTTGCATGGCACTGTTATAGCTGGCATCACAAGATATTTACATGCCAGATGCGCTAAAGATTCATATGCTTCTTCATGCTTTGGCCATCGTTCCAGAGGACATGCTTCCACGTTGATGATGCTTGTTAAAAAAAAAAAAAATTTTGTTAATTAAATTTGTGACTGAACTCCTTGGGGGAGAATTGTATGTCTCCTGCTCCATGGTTTTACCCGCATTCTGCCATATATTTCATGTTATAGCAGTCTGAGATGATGACCTAGCACATGTTGTTCATTTTAAGAACACTTTCACTGCAAATGTGACAAAATGCAAAGAAGATATCAATGTGAAATTTCTAAAGATAGCTACAGTACTTGACCCAAGATTTAAGAATCTGAAGTGCCTCCCAAAATCTGAGAGGGACAAGGTGTGGAGCATGCTTTCAGAAGTCTTAAAAGAGCAACACTGATGTGGAAACTACAGAATCCAAACCACCAAAAAAGAAATCAACCTTCTGCTGGTGGCATCGGACTTAGATGATGAAAACGAACATGCGTCGGTCTGTACTGCTTTGGATTGTTATCATGCAGAACCCGTCATCAGCATGGACGCATGTCTTCTGGAATGATGGTTGAAGCATCAAGGGATATATGAATCTTTATCCCATCTGGCATGTAAATATCTTGCAACGCCGGCTACAACAGTGCTATCCAAATACCTGTTTTCATTTTCAGGTGACATTGTAAACAAGAAGCAGGCAGCATTATCTTCTGCAAAGTTGTTTGTCTGAGTGATTGGCTGAACAAGAAGTAGGACTGATTGGACTTGTAGGGTGTAAGTTCAATTTTCATCATAAAGAGATTGCATTACAGTACTTGGATTAGGTGAATAAAAATACTATTTCTTTTGTCTTTTATGGTGCAAATATTTCTAATAAAAATAAATATAAATTGAGCACTTACACTTTGTATTTTGTGTTATAATTGAAATCAATATATTTGAAAACGTAGAAAACCTCCACAAATATTTAAATAAAAGGTATTCTATTATTAACTGTGATTAATCACGATTAATTTTTTTAAATGCTTGACAGCCCTAGTAACAATGTTTATAAGTACTTCATAGGGTGCCCTGAGATATAATATATATATTTATCCTAATTTATTACTCATAGAGTCTTAAAAATGCATGTGTTTTCAAACAAAGACTAAGTCCTTGTCCCGGGGGCTTATAAAATAGGGTATGATAAAAAAGAAGGGTGACCTATTTGGGAGCTGTGGAGAGGGTGGAGTGAAAGGAGTATTGCTTTTTTCTTGAATTTTGAGGGGAAATTAGCATTTATACAAGTTTTAAGGGAAGGCGTGTGAATTGTAAAACTGAGAATTTAAAGTGGAATGTTTGGTTTCTCTACTAGTTTTAAAATGTAGTGTTCGCCTCAGACTAACTCACTAAGAGGGGAGTTGAAACTTCCATTTCTCATTCACATTTTCTGTCTTCAAATAATTACCTGTTTCTAAGACCTTAAATCACACAAACTGCCCCTTTAAAACAAAATGTCCCCCTCTTGCACTTTCTGAAGCATTTAATTTATACTTCCTTGCATGGAGTATAATCCTCTGTTAATTGTATGCTTATGCCATAATGAAAGGCAAAAGTGGAATATCCATTCACTATTTTAAGCATTTTAGCAACCCTTGTATACTTTCACAAGAACTTATTTTAGGAGTCCTATAGATGAGATTGTAATTTGAAAATTAGTTATAAATATTCAGAGTGAAACAACAAATGAAAGATTAAATCTGGTCTGTCACAGAGGTTCCAACTACCTGTTATATGGGTTAGCTTCTGAAACTAAATTTTTTCCATTTATGTCTTCCCTATAATTTCTAAATCTCACAAGACAATACATGAGTCAGCTGCATTCATTTGAATCACTACCAGAAGATGCAGTGGCGCACAGAAAATTGTTGATGCTCAGAAAATAGCCAGTTGGAAGTTTTAGATCCTTTACACTTTTCATTTTAAGATTGCATAGTCTCTGTTAAAGAAGTTTGTGTTGACTTGAGTCATCAATCAAATGCTGTAATAACGTAAGAGCCCAGATTCTCAACTGAGACCAAGGAATGCCCAGAGCAACTCAGGGATGGGGTGACTAAGATTTTTCTAGACTACCTTGATTTGCGGCCAGCTATGTGACAGTGCAGTCCCCTGTAGCAATTTAGAGCAGCCTGACTGTGCTCTAACTTGTGTTGGCTGCTAATAACCCCAAGAGGACACAGCGAAGCCCTGGCTGTGCCCCATACACTGGTTGCTGGGATTGTTAGGAGCCACTATGATGGCTCTAAAACACTGGAATTAGGAAGAATCTAAGGGTATGTCTATACTTACCCGCTGGTTCGGCGGCCAGCAGTCGATCTTCTGGGATCGATTTATCGCGTCTTGTCTAGACGCGATAAATCAATCCCGGAAGTGCTCGCCGTTGATGCCGGTAATCCTGCTCTGCGAGAGGAGTAGGCGGGGGAGCCTGCCTGCCGCGTGTGGACCCGCAGTAAGTACTTTTAAGTTCAAACTAAGGTACTTTGACTTCAGCTACGTTATTCACGTAGCTGAAGTTGCGTATCTTAGTTCGAACTGGGGGCTTAGTGTGGACCAGGCCTAAGTGTTTAAAAATGCTGCTTAATGTATTTAATGGAGGGGATTTGTACAGTTGAGATTAAATTATGTTTTTCAGTTATTCTTTGTTTTGTTTTGTTTTTACACAGGTGACTAGCAGCCACTGAAGAAAGGAAAAAAACAACAACAAAAAAATACCCCACAGCTGGAGATCAATCTTCCTCTTCATTTCAGAAAATTCAAAGCCAGCAATTTTGACCATCAGCTGCATAGTAGAAAAAGGCTTCCTTTGGCAAATGATTGAGTATGTGAAAAAACGTGAAACATCGATTTTTTTCAGATTTTTTTTATTCATTCCACAAGTGCAAGGTTGGACAAAAAGCTAAGTTGTTTAGATATGCATTTTATATAACTGTAATGAGAAAAGGGTCTTCAGGATGTTTTCTCAATTCTTTAAGCACTTTTTACATTTGCATTAGTATATATGGCCAGTTAAGTGAGGGAACATTTTAAGTGGGAAGAATGCTGCATTGATAAAGCTACTGGGGGATGCAGTTGAAACATCAGGACAGCTAGGAAACCTACTTTTCAGTGCACTGAAAATATCATCTGCTTGAAAAACAAATTTAATAGCTGTACCACAATAGCTAAAATTCAGATAGAGATGCAACTAAGATCTCTTTAGTTATTCTTCTCACTGCAAAGAAATGTATGTTAGTATGAAAAATAACAACAGATGGCTGTACAGTCTAAGTACCATAACAGTGGAATACATGTATTTAAGAATGTATGTGTTTACAATATGGTACACTTAACATGGCATATTGCAGCACCTTTTTAGAAGGTCATATATAATCTTACACCCTACATTTTAAAAGTAGATTTTCCATGCTCTTTTAAACAGTAATATTTAGGTGAGATGAACTGAGTTAATAGTTATACCATACATACAAATTTGTTATAAGAAGCAATATTTTGTAATTTGATAATACTTAAAATTATTTTTCTCTGTTAGCTTGAACTGTTCTTGTTTGATTACTGTAAGCAACCTTCTTTACTTTCTTATTTAAGGAGAATGCAGGACTTAAACATATTAACACCAGTTATGGAAGTTATGCTTCTCTGTTAGTTGTTAATATTTCCTTTAGTAGCTACAAAAAATTGTACATCATACCTAACAGCCTGTTTGGCTGAAAACTACACTTCCATTTAATGCTGGCAGTATGTGGCTCTAAAGGAGGGGAGGGTACAGTTTTCAATACAGTGAGAACTTAAAAAGAAATAATCCTAAACTGCTTGACTAATAGCTGCGGGCAGCTAGTTTTATAATGCCAGAGTACTTAGAGGTACATCTTATACAGAGTTCTAAGTAATCTTGTACTATGTTAAAGGCTCCATGTAATGTTTGTTAGTTGAGAAACGCTCAAGTTATAGGAAAGTCTTGACCAGCGTTTTATTTTTATTAAAATTTTACGTACTGTTTGAGAGACACACCACCCCTTTCCTTTTACAAAATTGTATTTTTGTTCAGTATTCATTTTATGAAGGACAAATGACTGTACTCATTTTCATTTAGAAGCAGATTCATGAATTGTTACTGTTGTGTAATGGAGTACATATTCCTCTTTAACTTTTATAACAGTTCTTCTTAAAATAGTTGTGGGAGCAAGAATACGTACCTTGGCAATAGGTTATATAACCAAAATGAACCTCAGATCTTGGAACCTTTAGGCTGTTCTACAATTATTGTCCTGAATAATAAAGATCTGTCATGTTTTGAAAGATAATTTGCCACTCTATACTTAGCATTGATAGGCATTTTTCTTGATTTTTTTTTTTGCCTTATTTATAATGTTTAGTGAAACATTTTCAAAAGGAATGCTTATGAGCAGCATTTTTCAGAAATGATACCAGTTTTGCTCCAGGTATCAGCTTTTGGGGCAGCATCTTTCTTGGACAGAGCATCAGTTCTATGATACATCCGTCATTAGCTTGTCAAGGACCTGACAACCTAAGTTTCTTCCCAGTTTATTTCTATGGTTTTACATCTAACTAATCATTTCAAAATTTATCATGTGTAATCATTTAGCATAGATCATAAATGTAAGTAGTTTGTGTGCCGATGGTGTACAGGCATCCATATTCCAGATTACACTATAAACTGGGTCCAGTGTATGAATTTTTAGCTGTAGCACAAAACAGAACTATCTGCAAATTAGGATGATATACTGTATGTGAAGCTGAGTGCTAGACCAACAGCAATGGTGTGACATCAACTATGTCCAGTTTTTCTTGCTGAAAGAAACAAAAGTGCAAATTGGACAGTGTGCATAAAACACTGGCAAAACTTTTGAGTTGGGGGGGGGTGTGAATAGTGTAATTTGAAAAACAGGGATAATGTTCCTTCCCCTTACACTAAATTTATTATCCACAAATTTATAGGGAGATGTTTAAATAGCTCTATACTGTGTTGTACTACAGAGTTCTCAGGTTTATCTACATATGATTTGTCAACTTTGCCTTGAAAACTTGTTCATGATTACAAATAAACCTGTCCTTGATAGACTTATATTTAGTTAAAATATTAGATTCCTGACTGAGTCTGTATACATTGCTTATTCATAGGAATATCATATTTTATGCACATGCACACAAAAGATAGCTGCTGTGCTGAGCATAACCGTTTATATCAAATTCAAACTGCAACTTTAAAAAGGAAAGAAGGTGTGTGTTTTCTAGAGAATATTAAAAATCAGATTTGAATCTAAAGTAGTTACTGGATGTCACAGTTTCAAACAGTTCTTCAATTTAATAGCCATTTACAATTCCATGCATAAAAATACTCCCAGTGCTTTTAGATGATGATTTATACTGGTATTGCAATAGAAGTTATATGGGGAAAGTCCAACTACTTTCACAAGAGTTAGAGAAATTGACAATCCTTGCTAGTTTGGCACATCTGTAACTGACAGTAGATTTATTGAACAGCTCTGCACTTGAGAGACCATGGCAACCATCACTATGGGGATGGCATTAATACTTGTGTACAAGAGGAAAAAAAGCTTGCACATAAAATGATCACTAGAGATTTTCAGTATTTGCTCTTCATGGATGCACTACATCAGATTCGCTGAATTGTTCTGTTCCTAGCCACTGATCTTCAACAATTGCTCATCTTTTGCGCATTCTACATGCCAGGAAAACTTGCTTGTTTATTCAAAATAGAGCTGTTTGGTAGTGAAATGGGTTCACTGAGGTAAGGAATTGGAATTTCCCAATCTGAAATACATATAAATTCAAGAAGCATGAGTATATACTGTACTTTGGGGACTGAGAATTTATCAGTGAGAAAAAGGAATTAAAATGGTTTATTTCTATTAGAGCAACCAAAAATGAAAGGTAAACAACAATAGTCTTTTGATCAGGAATGGGATTAGCATTTATTTGAATTTCTGTACCTCCCTCACTGTGGTCCCAAAATCCATTAAAAATGACTAACATTCTTATTTTATTCACTTTTGCATATTATGTTTGCATATTTTGAGTGTGATTTAGTTTTAAAGCATAGATGAAAGTTTTGTTTCTCTTTTTTAAATGTTACTTTAAAGATTTCTTTAAAAAGTTTAGCAGCCTGTATTCTACAACACATAGCTGTAAAATAAGTAAACTTGATCAGATATTGTGTTGTTCAATGGCTGCATCAGGGACTTTGGGTTCAATAGACTTCATCAGATTCTTTGTAAAGAATCACTTTGCCTTTCAGCATCGTGTTCTGTAAAGTCAAAAATCTTCAAACTCTGAGTGGTTCTTTATTGAAATGCAACCAATTGAGACGAGGAAGCAGAAACTTTCATTAGTTAATGTTCTCTTTTATTCTCTTTGTTGCACTGAATTTAAAGACTATAACTGTAAATTAAGGTTACTTGCAGTTTAAGCAGCTGTTTTCATTGTAATGCTTATGTACTTACTTTACCGGTGTTATTTCTGGTAATGATCCAATAAGCATGAAGCAAGATACTATGTATAATGTTAGAGAATCAATAAGAACGGGAAGCGTCTTATTGAGAGAGCATGTTGCAATTACTGAACGCTAATGGAGTATGTCGGACAGTAGGTTCATTCTAAAAAGTGCTCTTTGGTATAGTGAAGCACATTGACCTGTATTGCTATCTAATGCTGTGTAAAATACAGCAGTGGCTGTTTTTATCCTATAAATATACTGTAATTTAAAGTTTTCCTACAAAATGAATTTATATTTAGTTGCTGCCTAAAACATCATGAATTAAAGGTTAGAATTTTTAGGAGGGGGCTGGGTATGCCAATGTATTTTGGGGTGGGTGGTGTTGTGTATATATTATGCTTTGCACTGCCCATTGAGTTACGACTTCGTCCAAAATTCCTGGCTTTGACCATGGTGAATCTGCAACTTGGGATTTACAGAACTTTATTGTAATTCACATCTCCTAAAACCTGTGCCCTTGGGCCTCATAATATTACCCAAATGGTCTTCCTTCCATTCCCCCATGTGGATTCTCAGATATCTTTAAATATGGAATATGACCAATTTGTGACTTTATTGGACCTATAATTATGTGAATGAGGAAAGACTGCCTACAGCTGATAGAAAAGACCAACCGAGGGGGTGTCTGTTAAAAGAAAAACCTTGACTGGGAGCATATTGCTCGTTTATTGTCTCAGTGGGTAGGGCCCCAACAAATACGAAGCACAGCATCAAGTTTTTAAATAATTCATCATGGTTTTTATTCACGTTCTGCTTGGTAATTCAAAGGTTCCACAGTAATTAATTTACTGGTAGAGTGGCTTGATTTTCAAGTCTTCACATCCATGAATTGTGGAGAGGTATGTGATTAGAGACAGACTCACTGTGACCTCTCCATACATGTTTCTGTGGTTGCTGCCTACTTTACAAGTTATCTTGTGTTTCTAAGTGCAGAGCCTCAAAGTAGGTGAAATGCAGAAAGCTGCAGATTTGCATGAATAAAGGGTTAATAAAACTGACACTTTCTAGCTTGGTTGAATAAACAAGAAATAATCAAATGGAAAACTGATTCACCATCCACTAGCTTTGTGCAATATTATGAATAGAATCAAACACTAGCACGTTGTGGTTGGCTTTAAGAAAGTCTTTAACACAATTATATTTAAATGGACATTTTAAATGCACATTGTATTATAAAACTTCTCCTGCAAATTTACAATACCTAATAATGCTCAATGTTCTAAAGTATTAAGCAACAAGTGTAAAAAATAAAAACTAAGTGAGCATTTCTAGCAATACCTGAAAACTAAAAAACTAAAAAATATTGGTTTGACTGTTTGCCTTTTGCTCTCTTTCTTTAGTGCAACTTTTCTGTAATTATAATTATTCTGTGTATTTCATGTTTTTACTATCATGACTTCAAAGTTAAACCTGTACACAAAGTACTGAAATCACCTTTTTCTTGTACATGCGATGTAACAACATACTCACAGTTTTGGTGCTTAAAAATGATTTTTTTCTTTAATAAAGGATATTTATTTGAACACTTTTTTTATCTGAGATTGTTTTAAAAAGTGGAGGAGATACAATCAACACCGTTTAATGGTACATAAATATTATCTTAGGAACTAGCCTTCTATTTCTATCATATTCTCAACTGCTGATGGCAAAATTTAACTCTTACACCTGTGCTTCAGTTAGGCACTTCTATGTCAGGCTGCTGAGATGCTAAATTCCTGAGTGTTTGTATTATCACTACACTGTTGCATCCGTGGATAATTAAAGAGACACTGAAAAAATTCTGCATTTATTTTTTCATCCCTTTATGGAACTAGGTAGCATCTACATCTTATTGTGGAACCAGAACAAGCCTCCAGCTGCAATTACTTGGTTTAAAAAGACCTGAGTTAGAATTAAAATAGACTAAAATACAAAAATGAGTTTTTGTGATTTCTATTGTACATATTCCAATAAGCAAAGGCAATCTTCCAGAAACAATTAAGAGACCAGATAAGTCTGTATTATATGAGTATGGATTCCTCCCAAATTAGTAGACACTAGAGATAGGTAGGCAGTCTTTGTTATTCCCTTATATTATTACAAAAAATAAATCTGCATTAAAAGGGTGTTATACAGGTTGCAAGGTCAAGCACTCAAATGTTAGGAAATCCCCATTCCGTCTTCTTTTGTATGATTGTCTGATCATATTTCAGCCACAGTATCCATGCCTAATTTCCAGTGCAGCATGTCTTGTTGATGTTTTTGCTTGTGCTTACATTAGAATGAAATTTGTGGTTTTGGCATGATTCAAAATTTTGCTGACAATGCAAGTGCCAGATGGAAAAGGTGATGTCTAACAGTTTGTGTCACCCAAACCTGAACAGAATTTCATGGGACAAAGAAAAGGCCTAAGGATCTTCTCCCTGCCCCATTTTGAAAGCAACAGTGGTGTGAGTACTTAGGTATCTTAAAATGGAAAGAGTCAGGCAGCCAAAATATAGGGCTGGTTACCAGCTCCTATAGTACTGTATGTACAAAATGCTCTTATAGGTGAATCTTTTCAAAACAACCATTTGTTTTCTGGGGCGGGGGGGGGAGGGGAGAGAGTGTGTAGTTTTTTAGCTAGGAACCCAGAAATAGGTACCGGGGTGAAATTTCCAGAGAAACTATTACCTTTTGTGCCAACTGGCTGATTTAAGTACCTCCACAAAATGGACAAAGATAATTTCTATGTATCTATTTTACAAAAATATTAAATTACTACATTACTGAATATGGCCATATACCATTTACTTATATATTGAGCCATTTTCCATTATACTTCTGTTTTGATATTTAGGATCCTACACCTATGTGAATCCACTTGCAGGAATCTGCTATTAAATTGTTAGCTTGTGGGGGTAGGGACTCTGCCTTTTTATATTTGCAAAATGCATAGCAGATTGTTGTTGGAAGCACCACAAAGATTGCTCGATTATTCCCACTTAAAAAAAAGGTGCAGTAAGGTTACATTGGATGTGCAGTTATACTTTGCAAAGTGTCTTTGTAAAAATATGGTATTCTTGAGTTCCTCTGTTGTCTCAACTTTCATATTAAATTAGCTCAGTTTACACTGAGATTTTGGAGGGCATGTCTGGTACTGTGGATTGTGCCTGGGATTTACTCAACAGATGCAATCATCTCTGTATCATTTTTTGTGACTGATCTCCATCTGGATCACTCTTTTAACCTTAGGATACGTCTCTACATGCTTGTCCCTGACTTGTGCAGTAATGTACTTACTCTTTCCTGGTGTTTTGTACTTACTCCTTAGGTTCTACTGACTTTTCAGGCCATTCCATGTGATGAATCAGCAGTTGAGAGCAGCATGTGTAGAGATTGCAGGGTCTCTCTTCTGGAATAGGCTTGAGTGGATGAGCAGCTCCTCTGTGCACACTGTCATCTCATCTTAATTGATATGGCCCTATCTCAACAGTGTATTTTTAATGTGTACAACAGAACCACTGCACCCTAGGAACTGAGCTACTCCTTGCAAGTTAGATTGTGTGAATTAGTGAATAAATCAACAAGCACACTAAGAAATGAAATGATTAGGACAGTGGTGATCTTAGCCACATTTGGTAATAGAGAGATGCTAGATACAAAGGATAACTACTCACTAGAAAGCCACTTTGTCACAGTCCTCTTCTTCCCAATCCTATAGGAATAAAGCATTACATCAGGCTGTCATCTCCACCAAAGGGGGATGTAGGTTAGCTACCTTCACAGCAGAAAATAAAAGAAGGGAAGGAAGTAGGAATGGGAAAGAAGTTTTATGCAAAACCAAACCACTCGGTTCCTTTTCCCAATGCTCCTCTTCCTGTTATTCAGCTTGGAGAAAACCTATTCTGTTACACCTACTGCCACAGCAAAAGGAGAGTCTCTGGGAAACAAAGAATTTTTTTAGGACACTTCCATACACACAAACTGGTAACATTTCAACTGATCGTGTGGTTGCTCTGCAGTTCCTGTCCACTAAAGCTTCAGCTTTCTGCTTACAATACGCTTGTTTCTCTGCTCAGCAACGTGAGTAGCCCTGCTTCCATCACAATACTCTAACAGGGCAAGCCTCTATCCACTTTTCTACAGTGGAGGACTGCAGATGTCTTCCTGTCCTCCACTCACACCTAGATTCTCATTGAATCCTGTCACATTTTATATAACTTGTCCAATTCTGCACCACCATTTCCATCCCAACTGCTAATACTCTCCTCCACACCTTTGATACTATTGTCTGCACTGCTCCAGCAGTTCCACCTGCCTGCTCTCTAACCCACTCATGTTGTAGCTAGAATAAAATATTCCTTTCCTGCCATGCCAGTCTGTGTTAGCCCGTGCTCAACTCCCCTCTGGGCTTCCTGGCTCATTCCAGGAATCCCATCAAGGTCAAACATCAGTTTCAGGATCAATATAATTTTTTCACGCATTGTAAGTAATCTGACAGCTGAATGAGACTCAGACCCTGGACTGATAATGTCAGAGAGGACATTAACCACTGCTCTGGGACTCGGTGATATTAAAAACTGGGAGTTTAGGATTCCCTAGGTGCTGCCCTCATACACTCATAGGCAACAACAGCAATGCAAGAGTAACGGAAGTTGATGAGGCCAGATGTTCTTATATCTATCACTGAGTCCGCGACTAGCATCGATCAAACTTTTTGACAAAAGATTTCCACTAGAAAATAATTTTGTAGAAATCAAAACACTTCATGGGATCATTTCACTTTTAATGAAACTTTCAACAGAAAAGTAAACAAATAGCTTTGACTTGTTTAATGTCAACATTTTACTTGATAAAATACTAACTTTGAAACAAATGTAATCTATAAATATAATCTTCAGGACGATTTGACTTCCTGACTTGATTTTTTTTTTAAGCTTTAACTTTCTGTGAAGTTTTGACTTTTTGTTCCAATTTCGAACAAAAACACATGTTAAGAATTTTCCATGGAATGAAAATTCTCTTTTCCAATCACTTCTGTCTATCCATCAGGCTATCAAAAGACTAACCCAGGAGCTACCTTAAACCAGCATTTCTTCACTCACCACACTGATGCCTGCCTCTAAAGGGAGTAGGACACATGGACCCTTTCATGGAGCCATAAATGCAATCAGGGTGGGGCATGTTCTCACTAACTTTTTCTCATAGTGGTGATGTTCTTCCCAACTTTGCCTGCTAAGTAAAAAATGAGCCAGGTCTGCTGTTCCCTACTCCTCTATCCTAAGAGGACAGCACTAGGAGAAGGAGGTGACTGGAAACATCAGGAGGTAGAGAGGAGAAAAGGATTAAGACAGCCTGGGGAAGGGAGAGTATGAGGGTGGGTAAGAAGAGCCTCGGGAATGACACTATGGGGGAATTGGTGGGAGAGCGAAGAGGGTGAGCCTAGGGAGCGATCCAGAAGGAGAAAGTGAAGAGGAAAGCAAGGAGGCAAAAAGCCTGAGTGGGAGAGTGTTTGGTGAGGGAGGAGAGTGAACCTGTATATGAGAGAGAAAATGAAAGGGGAGAGTACAGAAATTAGAATCAGGGAACACCAAAGAGTGCAAAGGAGAAGAGAGGGAGAGTGCGAAAACTTGAAAGAAGGAGAGACAGAACAAAAGGAAAGAAAGATGGAGGGGAAGAAAAGGAAGGAACAATTATCACACAATACAGAAACATACCGAAGGCTGCATTGATAAAAGTCAGATTTTTAAATTCAAATTAGAGTTATTTAAGACATTTAAAAAAACCCAAACCTATTAAATTGGAAATTATGGCAACCTATGTTGAAGCCTAAACTTACTATAATTTTTTAAATAATTTAAATTAAATTAATAATACCATTCAAGTGTTATATGTTTGCTGCCAAAGTTTTCAAGACAGTCAAGCTACTGAACTGGTGGAAGTTACTGGCTAATCACCTGGAAGCAGAGTCTGCTGAACTGCTAAATCAGCTTTTGACAGCAATGGCCTCTTGTAAAGGTGCAGGGAGAATATTTTCTTCATTGAGTTTACTTAACTAGTTCAGTCAAAGTTAATAAACTTACTGGGAACTGAAAAAGCAGGAAAACTTGTTTTCTTCTTGCAATCTATCATCAACAACAACTAGCTGTGAGACCATGAGAGCTGCTAGTTCTAAAATCTTGAAGGCCATGGCGACCAGAAACCATCAATTCAGTTCACTAACTACGCATAATACTTTCCTTGTTTCGTAATTGTTTGCAGTGTCGGTCACAGGATACAACAGTAACAAGATGGGTGACATAATATCTTTTATTGGACCAACTTCTGTTGGTGGAAGGGACAAGCTTTTGAGCTACACAGAGCTCTGCATGTCTGTGTAGCTCAAAAGCTTGTCTCTTCCACCAACAGAAGTTGGTCCAATAAAGGAGATTAAACAACATAGGTGAGGTAATAAGTTAGTTTCAATGCAAAACATGTTTGGATAAACTGTTTTTCTTATATATCAAATTCAAGGTACTTTTCTTTTTTTTTAAAGATTTTATGAAAATTTTAATTGAATTATAATTTTCATCCAAATACACAACTCATGAGTAAAACATGATCAGCTGGTAAATAAATGCATTATTCACCATTTTTACTAACAATAAACATGTAAAAATTAAGAATCTGAATAAATATAAATTAAGCCCTATAACTGCTTACATTGTATATAGACACACTATATCCTCCTAGTTAGTAAAACCCCCTCCAATTTTAGTGTGAAGGGTATATTCAGTTGCAAATCAACATGTTTTACTGGTTACCTACCAATGGGAATCAACTTCTCTTTAGGAAAATAACTACAATTAAAAATGCAAAACAAGATTCAAATCAATTATTTAAATCGTGATTAAAATCAGTGATATAAATCTATCCTCTCTGAGGGTAAAATAGACTGAAAAGGGCATAGAAAAAAACAAATACAAGGGAGATAAAGTAAAATTTTAAGACATTTAATGTAATACTGTGATGCAGAAATGATAGAACACAGAAGTCTGTGGTTATTTCTTTTTAAAGGGTGTGATAAAATATGCTGTGGGAAGAGAAATTTGCCTAGCTTGACTCCTGGTTGTCAATTCTGCTTCTCCCTTTTAGCGCTGCTGAACAAAATTCTCCCTCCTGGTCTCTCTCAATTTTTTTCTGTGGCTGCATGTATATGTATATACAAACCACACTAGAGCAGAATGAGGGGACTGAAGTATACAAAAAAACCTTCTCTGGGGGAGCTAACTTAGAACTAGAAACGGATGCCTACAAAAAAAGTAACACAAAACGAAAGTTTTAGAGGGGCAACCCAGAAGAGCAGCTGCTGGAGACAAGAAAAGGACAGCATATCCAGACAGCCAGACCTGCATAGGGGATGGATGTGGTGTGTGTTTGTGGCAGGGGTGGAGCTTGGTTTCTTTGCATCTACATCTGCTGGTTGGAGGATATGATATCCTCTTACTAGGCAGGGATATCAGGAGGATTTTTCCCTCCGAGAGATTTCTCTTATCAGGGGATGAATATCAATTAATGGTCTGAGAAATTTGAAAAAAAAATTAGCACATTAACCTCTAAATGGCCCTAAATCTTATGGAGGAAAATTTGATTTCCCATCTGGTGACAGATACTTTGTTAATAGTAGATTTTTTTAAATCTTACCTGTTAATTGTGGTTCTATTTCTTCTCTCAACATCTCGGCGCGTCCTTCATTTGTGAAGGTTCTGGAACCTCTGCATTAGCTTCTGAGGAGGCTGGTGTTACCTGACCTACAGGAAGAATTTGTTCTTCATCAAAAATTTCCACATTCACCTAAGTGCAAGTTCTTTTCCACTAAAATATTTAGGCTGTTGGTCTATCGTTTTGTGCCTAGTGGAAGCAGTGCTTAACAGGTATTGGAAATCCTGAATAAGCAACTGGAGGAAGTTTCTGCCAGTGGATCATCCTAAACTACTCAAAAATGGAAGGGAAGGGAAAAAATTAATCAATTAAAGAGCAATCTTCTGTCATGCTGATAGTGTAAAGGTGTGAGACATGGGTGGCCTACAGCTGCTGTGACACCAAAATAGCAGAGAGTATTTAGAGACTATGAATGGCAAGACCACCACAAAAATACTTTCTGGATTTGTGGAAGCAGAAGGCCATGAGAAAATGGGGTTTGCAGGTACCAGGGTTCTCAATGGATTTATAAAATACATTCCATACTGAAGTATGTTTGATACTGCTCTCAGGATCCCTGGCTGTGTGACTCTTCCTCCTGGCACAGTGAGTTTCTCCAGCTAGGTTGGATGCACCCGAAGTTAGAGTGGCATAAGGAATTTGGAAGCAGTGCCTTCTTCATGAACCTGCTGTTGCAGATCCCTACTATAGAAGTTGTATGTCCTGCCTGGAAAGCTATGAAACTTTGTCAATTTCTAAACTGTGTCATGTGACAGATTCTTGATGAGAAAGCTCTCAGGATTCTTTTACATTCTAAAATATTTTTTAAACCTGTGCTTTTTTCCATGTCCACAAACTAAATGATCTAAAATAACATTAAGATCCAGATATAGTGGTCTACCCGAGCTCACCTTTATTCAAGATTGGACTATGAGCTGCAAATGTGGCTTTAAATCACATATATGCTCTCCTAATCCCAGGGCTGGCTGCCCATACCCCAAAGGGTCATTCTGGCAGCTAGGACATATTGCTTCCCCAAGTCTCCTTTGCTTTATGCCAAGACATGAGCAAAGTGGGGAGCACAGGAACCACTATTCCACCTATGGATTGCCCTACACATGTGGAATCCCCATATAGACTATTAGGCCAGCTTTCCAGTTCCTTTACACTGCCAGAGCAGTGGAAAGTAGCTGAACTAGGATCCAAGATCTAGCCCACAGACTCTACTCACTATCTTGTATTTAACATAGTGGGTCAAATTAAACTCTGATGTAAATTGGGTAAATCCAGGGGTTCGTTTTATTAAGCAGGACTAGGAATTTTAAAAATACTATTCAGCGATAAAGTCCCAGCTTTGTATCATTGAGAGTTGGTGCACGGATGTATTATCGTAAGAAAAAGCTCAACCAACCAATCAGGACATTGCTTTGCACAATCCAGGGCCTTGTTTAGAGAAAATGAGTGCATGTGTCTAATTGGCATAGTCAGTTACTGACAGTGCACACACCTCTGGCCCAAGTGAGCTTGACTTTTTTAAAATTACTGCTCAATGTTCAGAGCTGTACTCTAATCAGATTCACATTTGGCCCTCTTCTAAGGTAATGACAAGTAAAGCAGTCAATATATTCTTAACGCTAATGGGCCAGACTTTGAAAGATAGAGAATGACAAGGAAGGATTGCAGCCTTTTTCTCCTTTGCTTCCCACCCTGAATTTGTGACAATAGCCTGATGCAGATTTTGCATATGACTCTGTAACTATCTCCCTCAAAGAATATGATGCATACAGGACATTGTTCAATAGCCTTTTCAGCACAGAAACAGAGAACATGAGGATGGAACCAACTGAGGTTCAGCCATTTACTCAAATTAAACCTGGATTTAACCCTTAATTGATAGGCTAGAGAAGGAAAAGACGTGGGAAAAGAAAACTTTCCACGGCTGGCAACTGAAGGAGGATATTCAAAAATATTTTTCCTCAATTGATGCATTCTTCTCCACTCTCTTTTATTAAAAATTTACTTAATTAAAAAGGAATTATCTTCTCCAAATGCCACCATCACAATATTAGTCACAGCCACCACTTCCTTACATTCAGTTTCAATTAGATCTGTGTATTCACTACACTAAACTACTTCTTACCTGAAATGTGCTCTTCTTTGAGATTTTATAACAATTAATTATTCCATATCCTTCCCTGTACCATGTAAAGTCCACTGCTGATGAATTATTTTGTTTTCCTTTCCAGTTTTCTTGGAAGTTTGCTGAGAGCAGGAAATCATGCCTATATTACAGCTGACAGATTTTAATACGTCTGTATAGAAGAATACAACTTCGGGATCATTCCGGCATACGGATTACGAGAGAGACACTCCAAAAACTAACTTTCCAGACGAGGATGTACTTATAAAACCTTTTATGTCAAAGTCAGGATTTCACAACATGACACGCCAATGCAAAATCCAGTAGCACCTGAAGGATTAAGGTAACTGCTGCCATCACTTGCACACTTTTTAATACTTGAAAAAGTTTTAAGAAAAAAATAAAGAGAAAAAGTACATTCTCCAGAGAACAGCAAGTGTATTTCAAAATAAAAATGATATTTTTGTGTTTTTTTTTTCCTTTTTCTTGTTGGGGTTTTTTTTTCCCGATTTTTTTTTTACAAGACTCCATAGTTGTCATATAACAAGTTATACACAATGTGATTGCTCTCCTCGCCTGTGTAGATTCTTCACATTTTCAGGCTACAGTACCCAACGTTGTTTTCTGGCATATATATTCCCACAGTTTTATCTAAAGTTAGATACAATGTATAATACCTGTCTCTGGGGAAAAATTAATGTTTCAAATATCTTAATACAGAAGTGGAGAGGCTACAGTAGGTATAACCACCTAATTATGAACTTTAGATTACAATTTCTACACACTCACCTACTGAAAATGAACATTTAAAATACTCTTAATAAGATTTTATTTATATGTGCACTTATGTCCACCTTATCCCATATCCATGTTTGACAACTACTTGGGAATTCAAAGGTGCAGCCCTCAGTAGATTGCATTATTTTAAAAAATGAAATCAAGCATCTCTACTTTATGAGAAAAGAAATTTTCAAATATTATTTTCCAATTTTAAATTTCATTTCACTAGGAAAATATTAAAAATGTGCACATCTAAATTTTTCCCATGTACTATATATACATATGTGTATGTATGTATACATAAAAATACTCATGTAACACACATATACAAAAAATTTAAGTGGAAATATTTTTGTAAGCTATTTTCCCACATTTAAATGATGACATTTTTAAAAGTTCTGATAATATAATTTTAAATAATATCACATTTATTATCCTATCAACTTGCTATTGTTTTACCTTTTACTTCCTCCTAATTAAGCCCATCCAGTTTTAATGGGCTTGATTCTCCTGGCACATAAACCA